TGCCAGGACGGTTGGCCGCTATGCCGGGATTGCTGACCTCTCGCACAATCTGTGAAGAACTGCAGGCTGCGTTCCCTTTTGTGCAAGCGTCAAACACCGTTTGGGCCGAGGTCTCTCAGAGGCTGGCAGCCTGTGAGCTGTCCGCGCTGCAGGCCTACCCAATGTGGCGCCGCTTGCGACAGGAACCTTGGTCTTTGCTCGGACCTACGCCAGTGTGGGGCCGGGAACGGACAGCTATTTACGCTGGTCTCACCGGCCAATGGTATGCTAGCAACTCGGCAAAAGGCTTGGACCACCTCCTTCAGCCAGGACTGGGCAAAGAGGCACACATTGCAGCTGCATTGAAGCTACCATCACCCTTTGACCCCCGCCCATGGCCTGAACCAGATGTTGAATTTGTATGAATTTGTTGTCCAGGCTGTGGCTACCTGGCAACAGGTTCTCCCGCGGTGGGCCGAGAAGCTACGCCACGTCCTCCTGACAGTGGCGCGCGCGGTGCAACCCTTGGAGGACACGCTGAAGCCTTTTCGATGCCAGAGCGCTCGAAAGGTGGCGGCGGGTAAGAAACCAGCCTTTCTGGCCACGATGGTTGCGCTGTTACGGTGGCCAGACAAGATGTTAGCCAGAGCTTTGGTTTTGGGTTTCGAGATTGTGGGTGACTTGGCGCATTCCGGGGTTTTCCGCCCTATCATCCAAGAAGGGAAGTTGGCTTTGGACCAATGGCTTGGACCAGCGGCCGAGGCTGACCTTGCTCGCCTCTTGAGCTCACGCCCTCCACAGCATGTCCAAGACATCCTGGAGTTGACACAGGACGAGATAGAAAAAGAATTTTGCTCGCCTTTGCGCACAGCACTTGAAATGGATGATTTGTTTGGGGTTGGGGGGTGGCGTTTCGTGGAACGTTTCCTCATCATTCAACCCGATGGGAAGAAACGGGCCATTGATAACGCCAGGAAAAGTGGTCATAATGCCCATACTACGATGCACGAAACAATATCAACTGTCAATGTTGATTTCTGTGCGTCCGTAGCACGTATGTTGCATACAGAGATGCCCTTTTCTCTTGGGGAACCCCCAGAATGGCTGGACCTCCGTCTGGGTACGGATGACCTACCGGATGCCTATCGGGGTTTGCCTGTCACCGATTCCCACCTACCCTTTTCAAATGTGGCTATTTTCGTGCCGGGGGTGGGCTGGAGATTCACATGTATGTGGGGTCTGGCGTATGGCTTGGAAAGTGCTGTGGTGAACTTCAACCGTTTCCCACAACTTGGTATCGCCATCACTAGGCGCTGCCTATTAGGGTGTGCAGCTGCGTACTTTGATGACGAACTGGCAGTGGAGTGCATTCGTGATTGCGATGTCTCCCAAAGAAACCTACAACTTGTGTTCAAGTTGTTAGGTGCCCCACCGCAGAGTTCCAAGAGCTTCGCACCTGCACCCAATAGGCATTACCTGGGCACATCTGTCCACGTAGGAGACTTTGGCTGGTTGGGGGTCATCCGTTTCCAACCAAAGACTTCCACAACCATGAAAGTCCAAGCCAAGCTCCACGAGGCGATTGTGACCAAGCAACTCCGCCCAGATGATGCAGGGAAACTTCGTGGTGACCTCAACTGGCTTTTCAGCATGTGCGCAGGACATGCAGGCCGCTTTGCTGGCCCTGTGCTGGCCGCAAAGCAACATGCCTCATCCCCTGTCCTACTGGAATCTGAGGCCACCACCCTCCACCTTCTCAGCATCATGCTTCGCACAGCCAGGCCCCGGGATGTTGAGGTGTGCTCTGCTACCAAATCCCCCCTGGTGATTTACTCGGATGCATCCTTCGAAAACGGTGCATTACGAGTGGGATGGGTACTTATGACCTCACCTCCGTTAGGAGTGTCGTGTCTCGTCCCATCGGAAGTGACAGATACCTGGATAACACGTCATCAGCAGATCTACCCTGGAGAGACGCTTTGTGGACTCCTCGTGCCGTGGGTCCATGGTGATCTCCTGGAGGGTCGAGATCTCCTCTGGTTCGTTGATAATGAGGCTGCTGTTTCCTCATTAATTAAAGGTTCCAGCGGACAAGAAGACGTTCACACCATTGTCCAGCTGTCACATCTGATTTTCCAGAAACGCCAGATTCGACCGTGGTTTGAATGGATCGACTCTGCCAGTAACCCGTCAGACGGGTTGTCCAGGTTGGGTATTGAGGATTCCTGGACCCAAACCCAACCCTGGCATTTGCGCGAGTTGTCCTTCCCAGTCGAACTCCTTTTTGTGGCTAAGCCTACGGACCTACAACCTTTCCTCTCCTTAGTGAACAGTGGGTGATGGTTATTTAACAGTGGGTGATCAGGTATGTTCATCAAAGATGACATAAAAAGCTAGTCTGTGTGTTACCAACCACGACTGATTTCCCAGTGTTATTTTAACACTGCTGACACTACTGTTCATATAAGGAGCGTGTAAGGTCTGCTGAACCACCGCCCTTTTCAAGGCAGATTTGAGAGTTCATTCTCCACGGAAAAAGATGCCTGCTTTACCGTGTGGAATCGTCCTGTATGTTTCTTATCAATCAATATGAATGGTTGGTTGGGTAGGGACATATTGAGATGTGAAACATATAGTGGGGATCCTCAATCTTGTATGCCATTTTGGCTCAAGATTGGGGGCTCCCTAATTTCCTTTTTCCCGCCCACTACCACCCTTGACACCCTCTGCGGGTACTATAGGGTAGGGATTGGGATTTCCTGTATTTTCCCCTTGAGGGTGATCAGGTATGTTCATCAAAGATGACATAAAAAGCTAGTCTGTGTGTTACCAACCACGACTGATTTCCCAGTGTTATTTTAACACTGCTGACACTACTGTTCATATAAGGAGCGTGTAAGGTCTGCTGAACCACCGCCCTTTTCAAGGCAGATTTGAGAGTTCATTCTCCACGGAAAAAGATGCCTGCTTTACCGTGTGGAATCGTCCTGTATGTTTCTAATATATATATATATATGTATTATATATTATGAAGATGTGAAGAGATAGATACGCAGATGTGAAGATGTGGAATCTCTGGCAGGGCGAGTGTCCAAAACTCGTGTTCAAACCTCTTCTGGCTTCTTCTCATGCAGAACGCACTCAAGTCACTCAAGCAGTCATCACCGAGCACCTGCAGCCACCTTGTTATTGGTGCACGGAACCATCCGGGAACCATCCGGCTGGTCTCGGAGAAGCGGCGTTCACGGGCTGAAGCAGAACCCCAATATAAAACGGAGTTCACAAATCGCTCTCAGCATCCGTAGGGTCGACAGACTCCGCTTGAGTGATGAGCTTGCAATCGCTGCCCATTGCTGTACGGTCGCAGCTTCGCTCTTCATCGTGTTGGCTCGTATGACAAACCTCGGAGCTGAACGCCGCCTGTTTGGCGAGGAGTCGAAGCACCTCCCAGCAGACATAGCTGGCCGCCTGAGACATAGCATCTCATTGCTTTGTTGCCCGCATTCAGCGAGATGAGTTCGGCAGGGGCTTCTATGCTTCAGGGCATATTCATGACAACCAGGGAACGTATTAATACCTATACCGGATTTCGATGGATTTCGCAGTATTTGCCTAAGCAAACTGCATTTCGCTGGATGCTTCAGACACGAAAGCTCAAAATGCTTATGAGCATGAAGAGGGCAATTTTGACCAGTGAATATCATTGTGGAGGGAGGGAAGTCCGCAAAGGGCCTTCACATAACTTCACCCGGGCACACATTGCTCCTCCACGCCTGAAACAAGTTCTGCTCAGGAGCATCCAAGGAGTACTTAATCTCATCAGTGGAGACTTCATCAAGGATTCAAGCTCAAACTGAAAACCGTGCAAAGAAGTTAAACCATAGTTCATCGTATCAAGAATGATGTTCAAACTACGGTTTTCAATTGAATTATATATCATTAGTCTATTCTTGGATCCCCAACAACTTAGAAGCAAACACAAACAAGGGCTAAACAATGCAAAAGGGCTCTTCTTTCTCATGGCCTAGTTGGTTTGAAGAGCAGTTGCCACAAACAATTTCACAACAAACGCCGACAGTTGCTCGCAGGATCTCATGTGTATTGATGTGATGCAGCAAGAAAACACACAAACAAACACAAAAATAACGAATTGGATCATGAGGTCTATCATATGGATCATGAGATCATTGGATAACACAAACAAACAAACAACAAATCGTATCATGTTTGTATCATGTTTTCTATCACCTCCCTGGAGCCCATGTCGAACGGCTGTTTTCTATTACTGCTTGGGCTGTTTGTTGGTTTTGTTTCTTATACGTACCTTTGCTAGCATAGAAAAAGCAAGATTGATATAGCTTTGAAGGTCTGACCTTCTTTAAAGGATACATATGTTTTTTGCGTGTGGTTTACAAGTGACTCATGAATAAATATGAATAACACTAACTTGACTTGTCCATGGAAGTTTTGATTTTCCATACATTCCTTTTTCTGTTTGGTTTGCCGAGTGCCTGCCGGGCCGTAAGCTAGGCTGCTCGACATTGGGGCAGACACCTGGATACCATTTCTACTTCGAGGAGCAGACGTGTTTCTAGGTTTTTGAGAGCAAGTCCCATATATATATATATACGTTTTTAAGCAAGCGACAAAACCACGTTGGAACACCAAATCCGAAGCAACTATATGTTGATGATTTTTCGGCCAAAAAAGGTATACTATATAACATGTACGGATTTTCTCTGAAAACAAGTTGCATATAGAAGCAACATGTATCTAACATCTTCAAGAGAAGACAGACATCTTAAATTCAAGAAACAATGCATATAGTTTCAACATGTTTCAGCTAGTTATTGTAAGTTATTGGGCTGCAAATTAACTTATTGACAGAAAAAAAGTTAACTTCTACTTTCATAAGTCAACTTCGAAGTACATGAACCGGATCACTCCCCCCGCCAGTACCGGCGGAGCGGCCGCTTCGCGGTCGGGGTAAGCGGTCGGGTCGGGGTAAGCGGCGGTCGGAGGTTCCGTTGATCGAGCCCTTTGCCTCGGAGTGGTACGTGAGCCTCTGTGCCGAGCCCACCTGTACCTCGGGTCGGTCCACCGCGTCGCTCCGTCGACGCGGGTGTTCTTATCGGGACGTCCGGGCATGGCTGGGCGGTGGGAATTGGGGTTGTGAAGACCCGGAGGCCAGGAGGCCGTGGAGACAAGCAGTTTGTGAGACATCAAAAGGGCGGGAAACGTCACCGCGTCGTGTGGTTTGGTGGGTTTTTGGGATGGTAAAACTACGAGGATTGGGTGCAATGACACAGTTTTTGGGCGGGTTGACACCATGCAGCTAAATGGGAGATCCTTTGTCAGAGGTGGTGCAACAGTGATGAGTCTTGGAAATTTCAACATACAATGAAGAATCCACAAAGTCATGGCTTTCTTTGGCCCTAAAAACAGAGTACACAGATTCCAGAACCATCATCAGCTGGACTAAGATATATTAAGCCATATCTAAAATTACATTCCTAGTGTGGTTGTTGATAGAAAAACAACAAACATAGTTAGATATCAATGAACTTAGGTTGATGAAAAATAGTGATTCAAGACCCCAGGGCCTCACATTCAAGGGGGACACGTGCTGCAGATGCACCTGCATTTGGTGCCAATGTTGGAATGTATGTTTTCATGATGTTTTCCCTGCTGTGGGCCCACCCAGGCAGCGCTGTGGGTGATCCAGGCATTTTGGCCTCGTTCCCGGTGCCTTGGGCTTCATGGGACATGTGGTTCATAAAGAATCCGTCCCAACCCAGACCCATGGGACTGGACCTATTTACTTACCCCAGGGATCCGGGACTCGTACCGAACCTCAGGTTCGGTACGAAAACCTGGACCCGACTTGCGGCCGGCACCGTGTCATGTCTCAGTGCCGGTCTCACACATCAGTGTACCTGAGGAGAAGGTACGACAACAGATCCGTAGGGTTACATGGACCATGGCCCCCAGCTGATCGGGAGTGATTGGAGTGAGCGGATCGGGAGGTCGACCTCCATTTCGGACTTTCTTCCCTGCATCACCCGGCTGGTTTTCCGACCGGCTGTGGAAATGAAGGGATTTGTTCACCATTTGAAAGATGAAGAGTCTTCTAAGCCTTGTGAAGGTCGAAGCGTTGACCCCTCCGTTTGGTCCAAAGAGGTCTCCATGAAGATGTTGGAAAGGCATCACTTCATTCAATTTTGATGCACGAGTTCGTTTCCAAGCGCATGTCGGGGTTTGTATGGGTAAGCAACGTTCTTAATCGTGAAGCCAGCAGATCTGTGTACTTGTTCCCACAGCGGATCAAGAGGCAAGAGTTTGCTGAAGACCGTCATCACGTTACATTTGGTCTCTCAACCGATGCTGTGGGTGGCCGTTTTCCTATCTGTTATTTTCTTTCCGAAGAGACACTCCCAACAGAATTCGACCGTTGCTTTTTTGCGTGGCCAATCCGAAAGAGTGGACGCCAGTTCCTGCAGGGTCCTTCAACATCCCCCAAACAACTTCAACATCCCCCTTGGAACTTAGTCTCACACTTCAACATCCCCCTTGGAACTTAGTCTCACCCAGATCCAAAGACTGGAAGGGGATCTGCATGGGTGGCTCGATCGCGCCTTCTCAGGGGCTCGATGGCGCCGTTTGGACGGTCGGACCCTTTGTTGCTCGGTCCATGTTTACGTGAGACGCATGGCGAGATTTTGAGGTGCTGAACAACGAGCCGCAGCTTCCAGCGAAGACTTTTCAGGTGGGGTCTTGGAACTCGATTTCGAGGGAGGGACATCGATTGATCGAGAGGCTTTCGGAACTTGAGGGGGGTGTGACATATTCGATCCATCGGACGTATCCGGACGGCAGACACCTTACCGGTACCGTGGTACGTACCGTGGTACGTACCGTGGTGGAGACACGAAACGGAAGAGATGCCACCCCAATGTACCAGAGGTGGATAGTGACCTGAACGAACGGACCCTACCAGGGTACCGAACTGGGATAGTCGAACTAGGGTTCTTCAACCTCTGTTGGCAAACACAGCAATATGATGCCACCACCCAGAGAGTGTTTCGTTCCTGAAAAAGAGACTTCCATCCACCCACGAACTTCCAGCGAAATGCCCTGAAGCACGTCATCGACGTTCCCCAAATCCCAAACACGACATCAGACTGGCATATAATGCCTATATACATTGGAAGCCGTGCCATCTATGTAAGATCATGTCAGTCAATGTTGCAGTCTCATGGACTGTGGTTTGGTCTTTCAATTCTTGCGTCAACTACCTCCGAGCTCGGCTTCGTTTGGTCCGTCGCTCAGCTAGATCGGTGCTCAGCTAGATCGCTCAGCGACGGACCTTTCCATCAGTCCCAAACGATTCGCAACAATGCAGAGTATAAATCTGTGAATTCACCGGTTGGGGTGGGTTCAAAGTAGAAAATGATGGTGGATCCCTTCTGATATGTGTGGATCCGATTTTGGGGAATGCCAAAAAGAGCTGGCTGCAGGATGCCTGCTACCCAAACACCGAACTGCAGACTGCAGACGGGCCATTCTGCCCTTTGAAATCACTTCATTGCGGGGGATGTCCAAGAATCAGGAGGCACCATAACCAGGGAAGAGCATGGATTTAGACCAAGATTCATGCACTGGTATGGGTGACTCTGAGATTCCTCATTGCTTCTTTGGTGACGACGCTGACCCAATTCGACCACTTCCGAACGCTCGTCAGTCGTCCGATCTAGGTGGGGTGACGATGCACAATCTACAATGCTTTGACATGCTACAGTGAACAATATAGGTCAAAATGAGTCACCCCTGAAATCAAGCACCTGTGAGTGACCTCCAAACAACAGACCACCCAAAACCAGAGTAGGCGGGATGAGCATATGTGGGAACTAGGACTCTTTCATAGATTGATTAAATTTGGTTTTTAAGGCCAGGACGTGATTTAGATCAAGAGCCAGCTCTTTGCCAGGCTGGGTGCTGTTCACTGTGATAATTGCTGCTGTTGCTGTCGCTCCATGCTGTCAAGGGTGTTGCAGCTTGCAGGGGGTTGTGACCTTTTGCGGCCTCCTAGGATCTCAAAAGGTCACTCTGAAGGTCCTGGTGATGGAGTGTCTGGGAATCTTTGGAAATGACATGATCCCAGATGAAGCGCCGCCGTTGCAGGTGGTGGCCCAAACCGGCCAAGCACGGACACACCGGGCGCCAGTGTGGGCGCTGATGGCTGTAGTGGGGCTTTTCCTAATGGCGCACTGGTGAGCTATTTCGAGGCGAAGATGTCTAGAACACAAAATTGGACAACCTTTTCATTTGGCCTGGCTGAGCACGGGATGACAATCTATTGCTTGGGGATGTGCGCATTCTGGGCTTGACTGCGAATCAATGAGACCATAAAATGAGATCATCATCTTGCCCAAATTCCACGGATCTAAAGCGTTTGGTTAGTCAAGACTCAGGGTTCCTTCAGAAAAATGTCAAGAAATCCAAGACTACGGATGAACCAGCTTACACGACACTTGAGGGAGGTTCACAATTAGTCTTTGTGGCCAATGTGTTCGTGATCACGGCTCACTATTCTGTTTTGTAGAGACTATTGGTCTTTTGTGTGATGTTATCTTTTGTAATGTCCTGTCATGTCCGGTCACTTTGTTTTGTGGATTCGCAAAGGACAACTGCTTTTCTTACCAGTTCCAGAAGGAACGTTGCTGTAGGGCCCAGACCATGTTTTTCTTTGCCTCGGTTCTCCAACCAGGATCCTCCAATCAAGCTCAATATATATCTGGATACACTTGTTTGCAGGATCATACTACACTAACAATATATTATACAATATACTAAACAGTTGTCATGATTTCTGGATACTTGATCTCAAGATGTGCCACCAGTGAGAAACAGCTGCCGATCTCTAGGTCCTGTAGCCGTGTCAAGCGGGCTCTCTGGAAGGGACACGCGGTATTCTTGGAGTGTCTGCCCAGATTAGCTTGAAACATCTCGAAACCAAAAAGAGCTCAGTAGTCAGTAGGTTGGACTTGGATGACTTTGGTGAGGCTTGCCCTGGGATTCCAACAATTGTTGCTTAAATGGTACAAGAATAACATTGATTTGTATTGTTTTGTTTCTTCAGCATTTTTGGGCTACGAACACCAGGTCAACCATTCTTGTCAAACGGTCTTTGAAGACAGACGCTTGGATCAGTTGGACCCAATGAGCTCTGCAGAGAGACCACTCCTCCCACTCTCCCGGCCAGAGAGCCCTTTTGGCGGCGCGAAAGGACGTTGCACGGGGTTAATGCACGGGCCACAGGGCACATCCGTTTTTTGTGAGGAACAGCCGAATTGGCAAACACGAGATGTTCAACACTTGTGAGATTTCTGGGAAGATATGGCTGTGGGTCGAAACCGGGGAAGGTAGGTTTTGACTCACACCCACATAGAGTGTATGAGATAATCAGATGAGTAGATCCTTTGCAACCGAAATGGTCAGTTGGTGCTCCAAAAGTTATTTACAGTACAATTCATGTGTGATGATCACAGGCCTTGGGAGGATCCACCAGTATTCACCAGCATCCTTTGATTTATCACCAAACACCACAAAAGGCTACAGTCATGACTTGTTTGCATGCAATATACCCTGGAAGTCCCAGGGGTATCCTTTGCATGCGCGCAGACCCTTGGGGTATAGTTGTTTAAAGAAAAAGCAAAAACACAATTGATCGTAAAAAAGAACACGTGGTTGACTTTGTTCATCAGGTTTTCGCTTTTTTGTTAGGGGAGGGTCAATCTGAACTTTGCTGCTGCTGAATTTTTATCGTAATTAGTATTAGACAAGAATTAAATGTACACCTGCTGTTTCCAGCACTTGTTTCCATCCAATGTGCCCTGCATGTGCCAGTTTCACCCCGAATACCAAGCCTTCGGACGGGTCAGTCTGCGAGACTCGACGCCTCCGCAAAGAGCAAAGGGGCCCAGGTGCTTCGGGAGGTGCATGGCAACAGGGCCACGGTGAAGCCGGAAGCGAATTGCTTGGTTTGAACAAGACGTGTTGACCACCTGTTGCCGACCTGTTTGGCGAAGGAGTGAAAGAAGATGGAAGAACATGAATCACTTTGACAGTTCCTTCGGTTGGGGAGACTGAGGGAAATGAAATGGAATGAAAAGCCAGTGTAATTTGTTTTGAGAACTAATTAATCAGTAAGGGAGCTTGGAGATGAGTTATATGCCAAAGGTTGTCAAAGCTCTTTGGGGCCTCAAGTACTCCGCAGCATGCATCAGAGCACGTGTTTTTTTGCTTGACCCATCAACAACGTCACTTTAACCTTCTCCAAAGACGATAGCAAGTGTGTGCAACTGGTCACGGGTAGATATATATAATTATATATATATGTATTTCTGGGCTGTCACTCCTGTTGGAGGGGTTGGTCATTTCCTTTGGTTTGCACCCTCAGAAGGTAGTTACACCCCCAAGTCCCCCTACCGAAGTAACATTGGCTTATGATTCCAAGGACACTCCACGTATGGCATATCTACTTACACTTGGGTGGATTCCGTGTCAAATTTGCATACTTCTTGTTGGCTGCTTGCTGCTCAAAGGCAACTCCAAAGGCTTCACTGGCAAAAAGAACTGTTGCAGGTTTCACGTTTTTCAGGCGCCGCACGAAAGGTGCAGGTTGCCCTGGAGAGGATTCATCGACAGGTTCTGGGGCAAGTCTAGTTGATCATCAGAGGGTCAAACGAACCATTATATACACATAAACTTGAACAATCGTGATCATATATACAGTATACATGATAAATATACAAAACCGATAGAGACAAACATCAGGGACATCAAGAACTCTACATGCGAAGTTGCTTGGTTGAGAACGGTCAGATTGACAATCATGTTCCGGCAAACCCATGTGGTAGTAGCGCCTTTGTGAATAAACTGGATGTTTGAGACACTCTAGGTCTCATACGGTTTTTTTGTTTGGTGGGTCATTGCACTTCAATGACTTCCCTAGAACTTCTTGAATTTGTCCAATAAATCTCCAGAACACCACGTGGCAAGAGGCAAGCACGGAAAGCAAGTTGCTGGGAGTGCAGAGGTTGCCATAGTGGCAATTTGATCACAAATTAGCACACAGTATTTTAACTCTGGCACTAAGATCTCTACATCTACTGTACGGGCAAGCAGACACGATGCAGCAGGGTACACGATAATTGTGCCCAGATGTTTTGTTCATAGAGCGAATTCTTTTTGTGACCCTCCTAACCTTCCGCACATGGTGTGGCCGTTGGTTGCGTTTTCCTAAGCCACCCACGCTTCTAAGACTTAAGTCTGGTCCTGGGAAACTTTAAACAAAGAGACATTCTATGGTCCTGAGTTTCTATAGAAATCTTTAGGTCCGGAGGCTTGGACATCCGCAAGACGGTCGACTGGAAGGCATCCCCGGTACAATGACCTTGGTTTGACTGGTCTTCGCAATGCACGTCTGACTGGTGGAAGGCACATTTTTCTGGAAGATCTCGGCATCACCGTCCGTGTCAGCATGACTTGTTCGTCATAGTTATATACCTGTGTGTGTGCGTCACTGGTGAGTTCGTGACATGAAGTCTGAGCTTGTAAGCCTTGCTGTGGCGAAGGACGGCACCAATGGTGTTCCCACCAGTGATTTCAAAGGAGATGACTTGGAGATCTTCGACTTTTTGAACGATTCTTGGAGGTTCTTGGATCTTGGACCTTTTTGAACAGTTCCTGGAGAACCTTGGGTCTTGTGTCTTTGTTTGGGGTGTTAACAGACTGGACGTTGAAGCATCTCTGACTGAGCTGCGCCGATCCCGAGGTCAAGAAGACCACGAAGATCTCCGAAGGCGCTGGAGAAAACCATGGCTGGGCCGGTCGCAAATGGATTTGGATGTCCCCAAAGCTTCCAGTACATGCTGTAGATGGCACATGATGGTACATATAGGTGGTTGAAAGGGGGTCAATGTATAGGTATGCATTCCATGCGTACTTGGAGTGTTATTGTAATGTTTGTCCATTCGTGGTGCCATGACCGATAAGGAGAGTCTATGTGAGGGTGGATGTTGTGGCGTGCCGCATGAAGCCCAGAAGTAACAAGCTTGGACAAGGACTACACCGAGGCTATTTTCTTGGGTATGGCCATGACAAGCATGCAGGCTAGGAAGCGGAAAGCACAAGTCCATCCCTTGACAACGGTGCAGGACAGCTTGCTAACACTAAACACCACCGGTAGAATGGAATGTCCAGGGACCCTGCATCCCCCATAGTATCGAGCAAAATTTTGGGAAATTATATCTATATGTGTGTGTGTGTTGTGTTGTTCCTTTCCATGTCCATGTTAAAGAGTTTGAATGTATGTTTGGCATGTTCTACCTTCACTCTCCCATAGCATCATAGTCCAATAGTAGGAGTTCTCACCCTTCCTTTTAGACTTTAACAGAAGGGGTGATCGCCCGGAGGCGTCGCGTCTTCAGACCAGGACCCTCCGACAGGTCACCAATTGAGACCTGAGACAGGGTCCAACAACCCTCAACTAGCCTGGCCAGGAGGGTGCTGGTATAGATTGTTTGCATCTGTTTGCTCCTTCAACCAAGTCCCTGAAAAACGAACCCCTTTCTTTGTGGCTTCGGCGGCGAGGCCCGCAGTCAGCGGCTTTACAATCCGAATCCACTCCCGGTTCCGGAACTCCTCAAGCCCTGCACCTCGGGATTCAGAGATTCTCCTATGAGGCTTAAGAGTTTTTTTTTCAGAGTGTTCCATTAGGATTTTGATCCAATCAGATCTTCTCCACCTCTCCAGGAGGTTTTCGGACATCTGCTTAGACTCCGGTTTAGACTGTCACTCCCTGCACCGGTTTTCACACCCCCAGCTCTCGCTCTCGCTCTCCAGCCCAACGCCACGCCGAGCCGAGCGACTAGGCCTCCGTCAGACGGAGCTCCGGGAGGTCTTTGCCTTGGCGAATGTCTCCATGGAGGTGAAGCGCGAGCAAGACGTGTCGGTGAGGGGCGACACCCACTTGTTGATACTTTTGGTATGATCACCGTGCAGTCAAATGAGGGTCTATCCGACTGGGACATCAGCTGCTTTCACCGCCGACCGGACGATGGTTCAGAACGACCCTGGGTACGGAGGCAGCGGGTTGCCCGTACATCGTCCGCTACTTCTCCTCTTGGCTGGAGGCGACCGCACGCGCGCCCGCGTGGCACGCTGCTCGGTACTGCTCGGGTTGGAGTGCTGGAGTGCTGCAGTGCTGTGGTGCTTGCTGGGTGGGGCAACATGGGGCAACTGTGAACCTTGGTTTTGCTTAATTCTTGGGTGGATCTGCGGTCATGGGGAAGATATTTTGTTCTCGTTTTTTCTGGGTCGTGGACAGCAAATCCAGGTGGGCCAACATCCAAAATGTGGCGAAACAAAGTCCAGCATCCTGGAGCCAGTGGACCCTGGTATCACTGACCGATCTGGCTCTTCGGGACCGACCATTCTGTTCATTCGATTTGATGCGAAAAAACCGGGGGTCCCCCGGTGCCATGGTGCCATGGCGCCATGCAGGACACCTGCAAATCAATCAGTTGTGCAGGTTCTTCGGGTTTGCCGTCTGACTGCAACGACTGGGGAGTGGAGTTCCAGAGACTGGGAAATGGAAGCGTGTGTGTGTGTGTGTGCTGCGTTGTTGTGTGTTTCTTGCGGGGAACATATGTCCTTGAACATTCCATGAGCACAACAGTGACAGGAACAATAACAGGTTACATGTGTTTAAGTGTTGCAAAGATTGCCATGCCATGCATTTGAAGCTGTGGTGCAACTGCGCTAGAAAAACATGTTGGGAAGAGCCGGACTTCATCACTGAAATGCATCTTGCAATGATGAACGCATAGGTATATATGAATATGCCACTCACTATAATAAAGTGTCACTATATAATAATCTATAATATGTCATATGTGGATTGTTTTTGGAGCGATGATAGACTCCTAAGCTCCTTCCTCAAGTGATCTCCCTTTGCTGGTCGGACCAAAGGTATTCCCAGCCATGCCACCACGCCATCGATAGTTGGAAGACCAAACAAATAGACACTTCATGTGGCTGGAATACATATCTAAGACTCCCTGAAACAATCATGAAAGTGGAACACCTGCAAGACCATGTTCCTCAAAAAGGGGGGTTTGCTCAGCTTCCATGATTCTAGGAGGATGGGTATGCGGTATGCACTAACCCTTCTTAAAACCCGTCAACTCCAAACGACCGTCGTCCGTTGGGTTCATGTCCTGCGACCGTCGTCCGTTGGGTTCGCTGCTCCAGGACGGGAGGCTCCATGTACAGACGGAGCTGCCAGGGGTCCCAAGTGCTCGGCCATCGGTGGTGCGGCTTGATTGGCTGGCTTGGGGTATAGTATGGTATGGTATTGATTCTTTTGGGACGGAGGGATTCCTGATTCTTCTAAATAGGAGAAGTTGATATGTGTTCTTTGTTGTTTTTGAGATGGATGGGTGCAGACAAGAGGTGCGCTTGATGCATCTACAGTGATGTAGTCGGACAAGCTGTCAGAGCTTGCCACTGTGAAAGTCAAGACACCAAAACACAGCCCGGTTTCGATTGTGTTTGGCAACCTTGGGCCCAGTTTCTGAATGTTCAAAGTTCTTGGTCAACATATCATGTGTGTCTATCAGGCCTTAGGGTCGGTCTCCCCTCCCTGAAGCACTGGAAGTCGACATGCTTTTCAGACCCTGAAGTCCTCTCAGCGTGCTGGAGATGGTTGGAGGGAGTGTTTTGTAAGACAAAGGGACCCCTCCCAGGCCCACCCCACAGCCTTTTCTCCACCGACCTCCACCGGCTTCGTCCAAGCGCGCCCACCGCGCTCTCAGGTGCCACTGCTCCTTGCGAGATCGTCTCAACGAGCGGATGGCGGGGGTCGGGGGAGATGCGGAGACGCGCGGGGAATCGGTCAGGTGGGGCGGAGCTGGTGGACCTTCTTGGAAAATCAGGAACCACCTGGGGTGGTCAATGGAAAGCTGTGTTTCAGGGAGTCAATGGAAACCGCTAGTATGTAGAGTTCCGCTGACTTTCTGGCCAAACTGAGGTTTTTAATGCTTTTTGAGGTTTGAACAGACAGACGAAGTGGCGGCTTCATCGAAACACACGCGCGGAATCCGGAAAAGATCGTGTGTAGGCGCGGGTTGGCGGGTTGTGTTTTGTGAAGAGCTGCTCGAGGACCAGCAGACGCAAAGCAACACCCCACCCCATTCCCACCCCACCACACATCATCAGCTTTCATCATCTTTCATCCCGGGTTCAGAGTCAAGGAGGGAACGTGATTCTTTCAATCGAAAGTGAAGCATGTGAATGTGTTGGTGACATCCAGGAATCTCTTCTATAATAGATCCAATCCTTTATCATTTTGCCGGTCAATTAATGGCATGCGTGGATCCCGGTGTGCCTTACTTGGTGGAGTTTTTGTGAGAGCAACAAGCTCCACAAGCACCACGTGCAGGGAGAGAATCACGGCTGAACCGACTAGCACATCCTACACGACTCCCCGTGTCTTTGTGCCTTCTTAACGATCTGCACGGCGGATCTAGACTGTATGTGCACAGAAGGATGTGACAAATCAGGTATGAGTCCCTAGGGATCCTAAACACCTTCTCAGAAAGTGATTGGAGACACTGTTATGTAGGTGTGGAGGGTCCAATGACCTTCTGAGAAGATACGACTGGATCCCGTTCGGGAGTTCTTCATCTGACCTCAGAAGCTCTTCACCATGTGTGACAGACTGTATGTGCCCTCCGTGTTTGACAGAACTGCACCGTGCCGGTGCCCTTGGGACCGCGCCAGGCTTGGGCGACGCCAAGCTTCAGTGAAAATGAGTTGCTGGAGGTGCGGTCGGCAACCGAGCAACGGCCGGAGCCCGGGCTGGAGCCCGGCGGCCCCCACTCACAGGTCGGACTCGCAGGGTCAGTCGGAGAAGTCCCATCTGAAGCCAAGTGTGCGGAGGAGTCCCAAAAACACCTCCATATGTCAGAAAACCACGTAGATCTGTGATGATCTGTGATGATCTGGTCGTTGGTCTTGCATAGTCATTGGTTCTTTCTTTCACCTCCCGACCGCGAGCCACGCTAGACCGGCGAAGCCGGTCTGACCTGCCGCAGGTCTTACGCCATGTGGCTTCGGGTCTTCAAGTTTTGCTTGGAAGCTCGGGGCCTTCGGGTCTTCGTGGTGGAAAGTCAAGGCTTCAAGACGAAGATCTTTCGTGTATGGAAAAAGGGGGGCAGAGGAGTCTCCGATCTTGTTTCTCCAACTCGATAGGTTACAAGTCGTTCGACTGGTGAGGCCCCCGGAGACATGAATCGACGACACGTGTAGTCTGGAAGAAACATGCTGGTCAGACGATAGGTTTGGACCTTGCAACACGGCGATCCAGCAACACCCCAACACCCCATTGCTCAGCTGAGCACGTTCCATCCTTCAGATGGGCGAGCCGTCATGACCGAGGCACTCTTTGGGCTTTGTCCACCTGGATATCAAGCCCGACAACATCTTGGTGAGCCGGAATGAGCAAGGTGGGCGTTTGGCAGTTGGACACCCTTCTAGATGAAGCCCAGGTGGCGACGACAGGTGTTCTGATGTGAATGAATCACAAACATGATCAAACATGTAGAACAATATTGCTGACACATGGCCGACAAAACACCTGAAGGAAGCAGTAGTAGGATCTTGCAGGATGTGTTTGCTTCTTAAGATTGACAGTCTTAGCCTTAGCCTTTGCACACTGGATGTATAATTTTTGAGTTTGGTGCATGTCCACACATTGCCCCCCATAATGGGTCTGAACCGTGTCTATGAATCCTGGTCTATCGAGTCCCCAAGTAGATCATATGTCATGTCTTCAAGGGGTCATTGATGGTCATTGTTTAACTATATAGTTGTTTTGTTCTATTTGTTTTGGTGCACATTGAGGGACTTTGACACAGTTCTTTGTTTTGTTGTCGGGTCCGCTTTCATCGCAATTGCCTGCAGCAGCTCTTTACAGGTACCAAAAGCCGTAGCTGGATTGATTTGTGCCATGCTCGTGGCTTTTCTTCTGAGAGCAGGGTTTTGCAATCCTTTCCTGATGTGCGACCGAACAGCACAAACATCATTTGGTTGTATATATATATATGTGTTTTACAAGATATAGATGATGTTTGACATAAAAATAAAAAAATATATATGCATCAACCTTGGTGTCATGCACATACATTATACTTGTCTAGACCTGCAATGTTCCCATGGCAAAACGCCGCTTCAAGATCATTGCACTGGTTTTGTCCATTCTAGTTGGCAAGTTCTTCTTGGCTTTCTTTGAGATACCTCGAACGACGCAAGACAGATACAAGCGTTCAAGCAAGACTGCAAGGTCCGCAGAGGCTCCTTGGTTGGCAGCATGTCTTGACCCAATTGTCAATGTGGCAGGGATATCATTGAAGGACATTGGAAAGCAAGTTTTGGATGCAAACAAAAATTTTCGTCCGATTGCAAAGCTGAAACTATTGGAGGATGTCTATGAAGCCCACCACCACGCAAGACTCCTTGCGGATAAACTGATGGATAGAGCCAAGATGTCACAGGAAGCCCGAAACATCTTTGTGCCCAGCATCTCAATACCACTCATCCCCGTGAATGCCACAGAGTTTCAGCATTTGGTGACGAGTGTGCTATCCGATGCGACCTCCACGGGAGTCTCTGCGATTCATGCTGAACCCGGCACGGGCAAGTCGGTTGCGGTAGCTTTAGCCATGCTGACGTGGGCAAAACACAACCCAAAGTGCATCACTGTTTTGATACAAGAAAACCTGAATCTTCTCAAAGATTTCTTTCGAGTTAGCGATGAAGCCTACGTGCCGGCTGTCGCAGCAAACCTTTTTCGAATCTTGTCAGATGCGGGAGTTCGCTTGCAAGTGGTTCTTGACAACATCTTTGACAATAGAATCGGTCAGGATGGGCAGATGTTGATTAGCCTTGCCCGCGCCGCCTTCTTACATGGACAAGTTGTGGTCGTCACGCAGTCGCGTGAAGTCGCTGAGGAAGTTGGTTTGCTCAATGGGGCACGAACACGTGTATCGCCACAGCAGAAGTGCAATGTCAGCAAGTACAGATGGAATGAGATACAGGCATACAGACTCCTTCTGAATTTGAACGCAACTGCAAAGCTGAAGGACTAGAGAAAGTCCCGCAGAAAAAGCTGGTGGCGCAAGATGTTACATGCATTCACGAGAACCACCAAGGAGTCGGAGGACACAGTCCAGAGAGCCTTAAATGAATCCCTCAAAGAGTTCAAGCAGGATGAGGCTTGGGTGCAGGAAAATTTGGAAGGGGCAAGGATGCCTGACGGTGGATGGAGGCCAGTGGATATCAAGCAATTTCTGCTATCAGGCATCAAACCAGTCTGAATCCCAACTGTTGCAGGCGGGGACTGAAGGGAAAGGGCTGGCTTGGAAGAACATCACTTAATGTGAGAAAGCATTCTACTTGCAGACGAGCAGGGATATTTTTTTGTGTTTAATGTAAAGTTGTCGTTTTTTCCGCTTTATCGCAAACGCTCCTGATTATACACAATAGCTGACCAAAGTAAGACCTTGCAAAGACCCAACTTGTCATCTTCGTGCCCTGCAAGGTGCCACCTCTCCAACTCAGACCAAAGCTGTTTGGGTGAGGCAACTGCAAAAGGACTGACAACAGTTGCAAGAACAAGGTACACAACTCATCTTTAGAATTTGGTAAACGCTCCTTTCGGTTTAGGACAATGGTTTCTGAACGCTCCCCACCTCAGGTTCAAAATTCCCCAAGTGAAAAAGAAGGATGGAATTGGTTTGATTGACCTTTTGTTCACAACAATATAGGCTGAGGGTGTTCACACGATGCTGATTGTAGGAAAGTCCGCTACGCAAGACATTACCTTGACATTGTATGTTCTTGCTGCGGTTCAGTCTTTTAGGGAGAAGATAAGAGGGTTGTTCATTCCTCAAGATTTGTTGATGATATCTTCCCAACATTTGCCTTAAGTTGATAGAGATGATTTAGACTGCAGACGTTTGTGCGATTTTCTGGCATACCCTTGTTCCTTTGCCGTGCCCTTTTGTCGGGTGTAGGAAGAACTTATTGACGAAAAGCCATGCCCCAAGCCAAACATGTGATTATGTGTAAGCCCGCTCTTGAAAATGATACCCTGTCATTTCATGTTCTTGACACGGCTCAGCACTTTTTGGGGAGAAGATCGCAGGGTTGTTCATTCCTCAAGATTTGTTAAAAGATGTATTCCAAACATCGTCCTCAATTTGATAGAGAGGATTTAGACTAAAGACTTTGTATGACGTTTTGCCGTGCCTGTGCCACGTCCATTTGACTGTTCCCACCTCAACATCTCACCTTGTGAGCGATACAGCAAGTGTTGAACAAGCAGCCTTGTCATCCCTAGTTCCTTGTGTTGCTTTGCACGGTTCGTGTGCTAAAAACGGTGTTGATTGGTCTTGTGAATAATAGTAGGCTTGTGCTCCATCAATTCTCCCACTCAAGCGTCAAAAGCATTGTTATGTGCAAGAGCCACTGCAACAGTTTATGTCTTTGTTCCTTTTGGAAGTTCCTCTTACTAGTGTTAGGTTAAAATACAAGTGGCTTATTCAGCCTTCTTTCTGGCATCCTTTGCCTTGTCACGGTTTGTTTCAGCACAGTTGGGGCGATTGCATGGTTGTTTATTTGGATGTCTTCATATTCAACTTCGAAAGGTCTTTGCCCTTTGCTTGTTCCTTTGCCGTGTTCTTTTGAGGGAAGTAAATGTTTTATGCATAAAATACTAGCAGTAGCGTATTTATTCCTCAGGATTTGTTGAATTATATCTTCTCAACATCTTCCTCAATTTGATAGAGAGGATTTAGACTAAGACTTTGTATGATGTTTTGCCACGCCCTTGTTCCTTTGCGGTGCCCTTTTGTCAGGTGTAGGAAGAACTTTTACTGACGAAAAAACACGAAAGGTCCCACCTCAACATCAAAGACGTTGAAACTTACAAATCTGTTGAAGAAGCAACCTTGTTTTAGACCCCTATGTTTGTTTTGTTTGTTCCTCTGCAAAGTTCCTGTGCTAAAGCCGGTGTTGATTGGTCATGTGAATAAAAGTAGGGTTGTGCACTCAAGCATCAAAGGCTTGTAATTTGCAAAAGTCAATGCAACAGTTTATGCCTTTGTTCCTTTTCGAGCCTTTGACTAGTGGTAGGTTAAGAACAGAAGTGGTTTGGTCAGCTGAAAGCTCATGAGGAGATTTCCCTCAGCCATTTTCACATCCCAACGTCAAAATTCTTGCGTAAGGCATTGCATTCCGTGTCATGCGCATTGTGCTTTTGCACGTGCTTATCGAAAGGCGCAGCCATTGGCTGTCGCCCACCCCCTGTTGCAATTGCAGGACGGTGATACATTCAAGCAGATTGGCAACCCGTTCCAAGTCACCGGAGAGCTGGCAGACGCAGTGACCTTAGCTTTGCTATTGCCTTTTTTGCTGGCTTGTCACGCTTTCACGGTACTATGTTCTTCCACTCAAGTCTTGGTCATGACGGGTCTTGAGCCTTTCATGAGGTTGATGACCTCAAAGAAGCCATATGCTCAGATGTTGCTTTCTCTCTTTGAGTTCGCTTTCATTGATTTTCTTCAGACTTGATTGCCGTTTGCTTCAGGGCATCAAGAAGAGGGCGGAACTCTCCATTGCGTCTTTCAAGATTGACATCTACAGCTCGAAGGATAGTTTTTTTCCTGTTTCGATGACGATCGCTTTTTTACCAGTTTGCTCATGGCAGGATGGAAAGTGGATAAAAGAAGAAAAGTCGGCAAGCCTTCGCGACACGGATGAGCCCGGCACTTGGTGTTTTGTTTTGAGCAGCTTTTAACCATGCAGGGCTTCAAACTGATGTCAATGTTACAACCTTCTGATGTATTTTTGTTTTTTTGCCGCCTCTGAGTTGCGCTTGGTTCGAGAAACAGCTGTTTTGATCACACTTCAAGTTTGTGTCTTTCCCTCCAGTTTTAAGGACAGATTGCTATAGCTTCACATTGCCATCAGCGTGAGTGCTTTTCTCAGCAGCGTTACGCCTAGCGTTCCACTTGTCTTGCCCTTCTGTGGCTGAGGTGAAACCAATTGAGAGCAAGGGTTCCCAATAGTTTCACCGAATTCCATCTTTGGAGTAAATGTAGAGTGGATGTCGCTGTGGCATGACCGTGCATCACTCACAAGATATGAGACTTGACACTGCGTTGACACTCTTGTCCAGCAGGTTGTGCACACAGCGGGTGCAGAAACAGTGAACCAAAAAGCTGTTCAAGATACGTTTCACTCGGGCAATGTATACGCCCAAGCACAGCCACGAATCCAACCATGCATCGTGAGAAAAGGTAAGTGCTTGATTTTGAACCGGCTTTCCTGAGAGAAACTTGAAAAGAAAACTGGAGGAATATATATTGACAATTCGTGGAAAAGAAGTGGACAAAGTTTGGTGTGCCTTTGACAGGGTTAAGAAAGAACGGGGAAAAGTATGGACAATTTTGAGAAATTCCGACCAATTGGTCTTGGGAGCAGTTCTTTTGAGAAATCCACAGGTTCACCCTCGGTTGTGTTTTCCTGCAAGCTCCACGAGTGGATTGCGGGCTGGAAATCCCTCATTGTTTTTGTGTTTTGAGCAAGTATGTACAAAAGCGTTTTGGCATTTTTGGCTTCGGGAGTTGGGGTTCCGGCGAACGAGGCTGGGCTCTCAGAAAATCAGCCACATTTTGGGGAAATCCGTGACCGGCTTTGGGAAAATCTGCCTTCGACTTCGATTTTGGGGAAATCCGTCGAAGTCCGTCACCGATTCTGCCACCGGCTTTGGAGAAATCTGCCACAGACTTTGGGGAAATCCGTTGCCGATTTTGGGGAAATCTGTCACCGGCTTTGGGAAAATTCGTCACGGATTTTGGGGAATCCGTCGCCGATTTTGGGAAAATCCGTCACCGACTTTGGGAAAATCCGTCACCGACTTTGGGGAAATCCGTCACCGACTTTGGGGAAACCCGTCACCGATTTTGGGAAAATCCATCACCGACTTTGGGAAAATCCCGTCACCGACTTTGGGAAAATCTGCAATCGATTTTGGGGATATCCGTCACCGACTTTGGGGAAATCCGTCGCCGATTTTGGGGAAATCCGTCACCGACTTTGGGAAAACCGTCACCGATTCTGCCACCTGCTTTGGAGAAATCTGCCGCCAGCTTTGTGAAACTCCGTTTTCAGGAAAAAAACATGGTATATAAAGACATGTGCCGTTTTGGGGGAAAAACATGCTCCGTTTTTGGGAAAAACATGCTCCATTTCTCGGAAAAACATACTCCGCTTTTGGGGAAAAACACGCCCCGTTTTTGAGAAGAACAGTGTCCGTTTTTGGGGAAAACAGTTTCCGTTTTGGTGAAAACCGGCGCAGTCTTTTGGGAAATTGGTTCGGTTTTGGATTGGCTTGGGATAAAGCTCAGGCCTACCGTTTTTGAACGTTGAGCATGTTTGGGTTGGGATTCTTGTGGTTTTAGGATTGGGTGTCTCTAAAAATAAGTCAACCGGTAGAAGGGTAAACTGCTGAAACCTATAAATTTTGATGTTGAAATTGTTTTGGGGTTTGTGCTAAGGACTTGTATGAGATGCCACAAGCACACACTGAATATACATAGTTCCCATTGAGTAAAAGAATACTTAAACAAATATTAAGATATGTTACTGACTAAATATACACAATATGCCTTGTTACTTTGTAAGTAGGGGAGTTGAAATCCCGATGACAAATCAAACCTTGCTTTTATTTGGAACGGTTTTGGAAACAAAGAACTGACTGACAGCGAAACGTCGTCTTCGTCTGAAGAAAGCTATAAAGCAATTTCATCAGTCCAAAAGCCCACAAAACCCCAATGGAGAAAACCGAACACGACGAACAATATTTCCAAAGATCTTACCAAGAGAAAACGAAACAACCGTGCGTATGCGATATATGCGGCTCTGCCATGAGCTGCAGGTCAAACTTGGCAAAGCATAAGAAAACGAAGAAGTGCCAGAGGTTCTTTGTTTGAGTTCACTATGTTTTATGATGCAAGAAAATTTCATATATATAATTAATCCAAATATCTTTAATGGCAAGATTGGAAAAAGAAAAGGTATTGGAAAGAATATACTACGACGTGGAGGAGGGCTTCGGTTCGGTGAGGGACTTGTACGAAAAGGCTAGGAAAGTCGATGTAGGCATAACTTTGGATATGGTTTCACAGTGGATCAAACCTCAACCAAACAAACAAACAAGAAACTACAAGAATTACAATTCTTATACAGCCCCTTATCCTAAATATGAATTTCAAATTGATTTGATGATTATGACAAGTCTGTTGAGGGATGTTAAAAAAAAAAAATCAACCTACCCTTGGCTTGGTATGTATAGACATTTTCAGTAAAAAATGTCATATAGTGCTAATGGAAAATAACGACACTGATGATGTTCATGATGCTGTAATGGAGTGTTTCAAGGTATTAGGTCAGCCATTATCAGTCTATTCTGATGACGAAGGAGCATTAAACAGTAAGAAATTACAAGCCTATTTTTAAGGAGAAAGGATAGAACACATAATAACCAAAACACACGCTAATCAGGCTGAGAGAATGATAAGGACAAATAAAAAGATGATTGCTGATAGGCTAAGAGCAAATAAAGATAAGACTTGGGTAGATATGTTAAAACCATCACTAACTAGATACAATACTCAAGTTCACAGTTCAACTAAAATGAGCCCTAACAAAGCGCACGACCTTAAAAATGCGCTTGAAGTAAAGTCTAATCTTGTTTTAAAAGAAAAACACAATAGGAAATACCCAAACATTAGAGAGGGAGATTATGTTAAAGTTTTTGATAAAGGCAAAGGCAACTACACTTCAAGAAAAGAAACGAAAAGTCAATGGACTGATAGAACATATAAAGTAATACTCAAAGGCCGAGACATGCTGAATAATACCTATTACAAACTGGATGGACTAAGCAAAAAATACAACTGTCATGAACTGCTGCTACTTGTAAATGATTGACATTTTTTAGTTTGCTGATGTGTTTTAAGGTCATATTTTTTGACAGTTAAACCACAGTTATCACACACAGGTTGTTCTGCCATGTTTTCCTTGTTTTTGTCTCTGTATTGTTTGTTGTATTCACTTATATGTTCTTTATTGTTTTCTTTCCAACTTGTATTCCCCACATCTTAGTGTGGGGTTCTTCTTTTCTATGTCTCATCCCGCTTCCCGCCTCCGCCCGCCTCCGCCTCCGCCACACACACCGAGGCAACACACACCGAGACAACACAGACAGAGATCACACAGACAGAGACACACACAGAGATCACACTCTGACATTGGTTTTCAGTTAGCTCAATTGCCAGGTCTAAAATGGTGATGAAACGGCACGGTGAAAGGTCCGATAAGTTGAAGGTGTTTCAACAAAGGTTTGCTCACAATGACATGCTGCAAAACGCGCGGCTGCTGCAAAAGCTGGAAGAAGATAGGTTTGGGGGAAAGTATCATGAAGAACCATGAATCAAAGCGCGAAAAGTGGAGTCACAGCTTGAAAAACAGTTCAGCAGGTACACGGAGGTGATCAATCTCCGCATCCCCCATCGTGGAACAGCTTCGTTGGCACAGGTATCCACGATGGGCCTGTGCCCCCTGCTTGCATGAAAAGCTGGGAAAATCGTTGCAAAACCCTTAGGAACAGGGTGTGACACACACAACAAGCCGAACTCGGCGCGGGTGGAAAGCAGTGGATAAACGGACTTTTTTCAAAAACCGCCTGCACGCTTGCAGGTCATGCCGTTTTGGGCGTAGAGTTGGACCAGTGCTTCTGCCGCAGCTGTTGCGTTGTGAGGTGGGAAAGTGTAGGTGTAAATGGCATGGAGTCTGGAAGCTAAGCCGGAGAGAGCCAAGCGCTGGCTACCGGCGCTGGTGTGGTCTCTGATTTTCCAGGGTTGGGTGGGTTGCATGTAGGTGATAGTTCGTTGTTGAAGGTCAATGTTGAAGCCCAAGAGATGGAAGTCATCCACGGTTTCCAGTTCGACGGGATCGCCGAAAAAGTTGTGGTGGATGAGTGTCTGTCTGAATTGCTGGGTGGGTAAGGAAATGTTCGTTGTGAATGATGAAACGGTTGTCGACATACCGATAGTATGTGAAGTGGAGGGCCATGTGCTGGAGAAGGTTGTTGTGGAGCTGGTGCCAGGAGTGTTCAATGAGAGTGATGGCGACGTTGCAAAGGGCAGGGGAGAGCTGGGAGCCAATCCCAGCGCCTCGGATTTGTTTGTAGGTGTTGTTGCATGCCCGGAAAATGCATGTGTTGAGTGCGAAGGCCACAATAGTTGTGATGTCGGAGGTGTGAATGGTGGCGGATGTGGTGCCTGCCGATGTGGGAATGGTGGAAAGGGTTGCCTGTGGCTTTGGTGTCGACTGTGAGTGTATGTCTATTGTTCTGGCGCTGCCATTGTTGAATCAGAGAATGGACGGCATCAATCAAACGGTGTTGGGGAACTGAGTTGAAGAAGCCCACGAGATCGTCGTTGGTGGCATGGATCGAGGGGGATGTCCGGAGGTGTTTGGGTGAGGTAGCAATGGAAGTGGGCCCAAAGCTGTGGGATGGACATTTGGCCTGGAAGTTGGGGGAGGAGGTGTTGTAGGATGATGTCGACTGCTCGGCTGGTGATGCGGAGGAGATTGCCGCTGAGGGATTGAAAGTAAGAGATGATGGTGCGCCCTTTGCGCCAATGCTTCTTTTCCTTCAAGTGGACAATGCCGTACGGGATCGTAAAATCCTTGCAGAAGCCCCATTTGTAACGTGTGCGAAGGCTGGAGGGGACGGTGTTCAAAAGGTATTCGTGGATGTTCGATAGGTGGAGTGTTGGCATGGGTTCAAAGAGTTCAGGTGCTTGCCAGGTGGCAAGTGCCCCGGTGAAGTATTGACGAGGGCAGAAAATGCGGAGTTGTTGTAGCTCATGGTCAGCATGGTGAAGGACGACTTGGTCGCCCAGAAATTCCTGGAGGCGCCGCAATAGGCGAGCCGTGAAGCGGGGCTGGTGTTTGAGATGTGCTGTGTGGAGCTTCCATTGGTGCTGGAGGAATGGCTCCAAATGTTGTGTGAGAGAGGCAGGGAGGCCTTGTATGCGCAGCCATTTTGCAAAAACGGTCTGGAAC